GGGCTGTTTTTTCTATTTGCATGGCCCTCAAGCTAAGAATGTTTTCTTCATTTTTAAATAGTTGGGAAAACAGTCAAATGAAAAATATTTCCAGATACATAAAAATTAATTACTCAGAATTCAAATGTGTCTATAAAAAAAAGTTTCATTGGAACACAGCCATGCATATTCATTTATATTGTCTTTAGTTGCTGTCACACTGTAACAGCAGAGTTGAATAGTTGGGACTGAGACCATATGGCTCAAAAAGTCTAAAATACTTATTATACATTCCTTAATATAAAAAGTTTGCACACTCTGGGAAGCCAAGGCGGGTGGATCGCTCAAGGTCAGGAGTTTGAAACCAGCCTGAGCAAGAATGAGACCCTGTCTCTACTAAAAATAGAAAGAAATTAATTGGCCAACTCAAAATATATAGAAAAAAAATTAGCCAGGCCTGGTGGCACATCCCTGTAATCCCAGCTACCTGGGAGGCTGAGGCAGAAAGATCGCTTGAGCCCAGGAGTTTGAAGTTGCTGTGAGCTAGGCTGACACCATGGCACTCTAGGCAACAAAGTGAGAGTCTGTCTCAAAAAAAAAAAAAAAAAAAGTTTGCAAACCCCTGCTTCAGCATGTGTGATTCCTACAAACCAGGACATTCGGCTATAATACAACCGTCAAAATCAGAAAACTAATGTTGACACATTATTGCTACCTAATTCACAGATCCCCATTAAAGTTTCACAAATTGTTCCAATAATATCCTGCACACCCAAGGATCACATGTTTGCACTTAGCTGTCTTTAGTCTCTTGCAATCTAGAACAGTTCCAAAATCTTTCCTTGACTTTCATGATTTGACAATGAAGATTATAAACCATTGATTTTGTAGGATGCCCCTTAATTTGGGTTTGTCTGGTGTTTCCTCATGAAGATATTCAGGTTTTGCATTTTTGGCAGGAATATCACAGAAGTGATGCTGTGTTCTTGTCAGTGCATTTCCTATCAGGGCAGACATGATTTTAATTTGTACCTTAGTAGTGATGTTAACTTTGATCACTTGATTCATGTGTTATCTGCCAGGCTTTTCCATCGTAAAGTCACTCATTTTCCCACTGTAATTAAGTACTACTTTGTGGGTTTTCTCTTCAGTTATTGAAATTCTATTCAAAGAAACAGTTCAAATACACCTCCTTCAAACTTTCTAGATCCTCAATTTCTTATCCTGCTACAGCCTTTTGCACCTTTATTGATATTTAATTCTATCTTGAATGGTATTAATAGTTAACTATACTAATTACCCTCACCAACAACTCTACAGTTTATAAGCAATAAACAATGGACTAGAGCATGGCTTAAGTACCAGGGAGTTAGAAGACCTAGACTCAAATCCTAACTTTGTCACTAACAACTATGTAACTTCAGGTAAGTTACTTCATCTCTCCAAACCTGTTCCCTTAACTGGAAAATGGAGGGAATAATCTTCACTGCATAAAAAGCTATAAGGATTAAATAAAATACTCTTTTTAAAAAATAAACTAGACATTTATTTTCATTTATACTATAAAGTGGTTTAAGAAAAGTTTACTCTTTTCAGTGTTCAAAATTAAATAGGAATTATTTTCATACCTAGCAATTATAATGGTAATGTGAAGTAAAAATTTAATTCTGTTCTGCTGAACTAAAGCTCAATAGAGTCAAATAAAAAATATGTACGAAAATACCTACATTTTTAAAAAGTTTTAAATTTTTGTTATTTTTTAATGATAGGTTTACTTTTTCTAACATTTAGAAAAAATCCAGGCCGGGTGCGGTGGCTCACACCTGTAATCCTAGCACTCTGGGAGAGGCCAAGGGGGGAGGATGGCTCAAGGTGAGGAGTTCAAAACCAGCCCGAGTAAGAGAAAGACTCCGTCTCTACTAAAAATAGAAAGAAATTAATTGGCCAACTAAAAATATATAGAAAAAAATTAGCCAGGCATGGTGGTACACACCTGTAGTCCCAGCTACCTGGGAGGCTGAGGCAGGAGGATTGCTTGAGCCCGGAAGTATGAGGTTGTTGTGAGCTAGGCTCACGCCATGGCACGCTAGCCCAGGCAACAGAGAGAGACTCTGTCTCAAAAAAAGAATCCAGCCTTCTACAATCAATATAAAACTATTCAAATAATTACAACAGAATCTTTTATATTAGAAAAACAAATTCACATGAATCCTCCTAACACAAATTACCATCCAGAGAGGGGTAGTTTCCCTGAAACAGAGAGAATTTCTTTCTTTTTGTCACCTCCATTCCTTATATATAATCTTTATTTCACATCATTTACACAGATATATTATCACAATCTGACAGGTAGATAAGGAAAACATTTTTTTTTTTTTTGCCTTCAAGAGATCATCAAGTAAATGTATTATCTTCTTAGTATGTTTCTTTTTAACCTTATCTGAGTGTCATCTGTAGGTTTGGAGGCCAATGACAGAATGCCATTGGAAGACTATTTTGCTTTACTTTTCTTTTCACATGATGAAAACTGCTGCTGCTAGCCAATCAGCATCCAACTCAACGTATCCTCAAAACGAGCAAAAGTCATAGTAGAAGTCTGAGTAATCATCATGGTTACCTTTGTGGCTGCAATAAAGACGATCTAAAGGAACACAAGATTATGCTTTGATGTTGCCAGATGATTGGTGTGCTGGAATGGGGAGATAACTGATCCCAGCAGGGTTACCTTGGAAGAGTAAGACATCTTCAGTCATTCATGACCTTTCAATTTCCTTTTATCAACCTCTCAGAATTTGTGATAATGGTACCACCTGTACACATCAGGCTCATCTAATAGTTATCATGACTATCAAGCCATTTCTGTAACAGTTATTAGCATGTGTGACTCCATCTACTATTTTCCAAGTTCTGGTCACTTTGTTGCGGCCAGGAGCTGAACAGGTAGGAATAACTGGCGCTGGGAAACTAGGTCACATGGGCAAAAAACAATATACCTGGTTGAAGATGCCCATAATATGTGAGTGTCGTTTGAAGAAACCTCAATGGAGGCTCTGCAAGCAGTACACAGCATATAATTCCTCCACCAAAGCAGTGTAGCATAGCTGTAAACCAGCTTGAAAGAGGATTCTTCCATGCCACTGCTGCTGCTCTCAGCTGATGTTTCAGAGCCATCACCGACACTAGATAATGGGTGATGTCAAAAAAGGGAAACACATACGTACGTGCAGGAGAAGGCCAGAGCTAGCTCATCCTACATAATCACAAGAGGATCAACCACAGTGGCCAAAGCAGCCATGGCAATGGGCTCCCCACATAAGAAAATACTCTGTGTAAAGGATTTAACACAGCTCCAACCTCAATAAATGTTAGCTAGCATTATTTCTGACCATTGTCAAATACAAGAATCCTGTATTCCTTGTACCCACCTGCCAATGACCAAGACAGCACCTTGCATAAGGAGGAACTGGATAAATGTTAACGGAATGGAATGTTTAATTTTGAGATACTGATATTTCTTGTATTAGGCTAATACCTCTACCTCCCTCAATGCCATCTGCTGGGTGCTGAATGTAGATAAAATAGAGGATAAGAGAGCTCCAAGGACTTGCAACTAAATGTAAACTATTAAGGAAACTTTCATAGGTACAGATTCTTTTTACTTCCAAAGAACTATCATATCTGTGCTCACTTCATTCCCCCAATATTCCCATCAAGCAACTGCAGAAACTTTTGTAGAAGGCTGTTCATGGAAGAAACCAAGCTCATTTCTGCCTCGGGGTCATTGCACTTGTCATTCTTTGTCCAAACAGCTCTTCCTTTTGGTATCTATGCCTTGTTCCTTTATTTCACTCCAGTCTCTACGAAAATGTCACCTTCTCTGTCACTCTAAAAAGTCTCCCAGGCTGGGCACGGTGGTTCACACCTATAATCCCAGAACTTTGGGAGGCTAAGGCGGGAGAATAGCTTGAGGCCAGGAATTTGATAACAGCCTGGGCAAATGGAGAGGCCCGTTTCTATTTAAAAGGTATACACACACACACACACACACACACACACAATATCATACACTCTCCAACTCCCACTTGCACTGTTTTGTTATTCTTAACATTTATCACTAGCTGACATACACCTAGTCATTTGTTTAATTGTTCATTTCCCCAAATACATTTTAAGCAAGGACTTTGTTTTGTCCACTTAGAACAGCGCCTGGCATAAAACAGGCCCTCAATAAATACTTGTTGAATGAATGAATGGATGACTCCCAAAAGGCACAGAGAAGATAGCTGACTCGCCCACAACTGTACAAAATTAGTGACTCTTGGTACCAAGCCTTACTGCAACTTCCCGCTACGATGCAAGCTCTCAAAAGTATACCGAATAAAGACGAAGGTAGGCTGGTGAAGGCGGCACAGACGGAAGAGGGGGTGAGAGAGGGGACTGGACAAATAGAGCACGACCCTGCCCCGGGACGGGATTCTGCGGATGGAGGATATCGAGGGAACCCCGGAATCCGGGTGATTGTATCCTGAGGGCGGGGAGACTCTTTCGTTCCCTTTCCTGCCCCAAGCCTCAATTTACCCATCTGGAAAGCGAAAGGGGCAGATAACACATAACGCCTCTTCTAGGAGTTAATTTCCCATCCCAGCCGGACCAACCTTCCCACGCCGTTTACCCGCACCCGCTCACCTCCCGCTCGTTCAGCCAAGAGCGCCAAGACCGTCGCCGGAGACCGAGCTTCCGTCCCACGCCGCGGCAACACCTGCGCCTAGCGCCAGGAAGGACCCCGCAGACGCCAAAGTCGCGTTTCTGCCCCGGAGGACAGCCCTCTGCCTGAGGATCGGCGCCAAGGAATGCCAGCCGTAAAGACAGGAGCCGGCATGGTGGAGCTGTGGGTCCCCAAACCAAGGCGTGGGCTACTGCAAAGAGAGTTATGCCTGAGGTCGCATGAATCTGATCAGGCGCCTCGGACTACCCTGCGTGGGGGGCCTTCGGCCAGATCACGTGGGCGGGCTGTTGGAGCAGTTGCTGGGCAACCACAGCTGCTGTGCATGATCTGCGCTGAGCTACCTTCCTGTTCTGGCATATCAGGGGATCCCCAAAGAAAGCAAGGGGACCAAGGCCGGGGTGGAGGTCTGGGTGGCTGAGTAAGGGGGACAGTAGGATTAGTTCTAGTTATTCAGTGACTGGGGAGGGCTGAGGACTGGTCAGGAGCCACAACACTCTAGCTGAGCTGCTGGTCAGCTCAGCCCCTTTCTTGGTGTTCAGCTTCCCCACATTGGGGTGGGGGTGGCTATGAGTTGGTTGTGTATCTCCTGCTTCGCTGCCCTAGAGCTGTTCTTGATGACTCTGCCACTAAATCTAGCTCAATTCACCACCAGGAGTCTGAGGTTCAGATGGGTCTCACAAAAAAAATGCCACAGCCAAGACTAGAACCCATATATTAATAGATAATCTCTCTGTAGAAATAGTCAATCAGCCTCAGATATGCAGAGGCTGCAGACGTAGAGTGGTAAAACTAAAGGCGTTGCCCAGACACCTGGGGACCTGTGCTCCAGCCCTGGGCTGGGCAGAGTGTATTAATGGGTGAAGATCATTAAACTCCTTTCTCTGCCACTTCTACTGAATTTCCTGCACAGGCATTGTATCTGGTTGGTTTAATGGAATGTTTCCTTCCCCATTAAAGACATTTAATGAAGGATGAAATTTTTTCCCTGGGCTTAGAGTTCCGCTTTTTCTTTTTCCAATCAGCTTTTTCAGGTTGAAGAGTTCTGCTTTTGTGTGAAGAGTGAAGAAACTGAATTCTGGGATCCAAATGCCTCCTCTGCTGGAGCATCAAAATTAAAAGTATTTTTAGAAGCAGAGAGCAAAATTAAGACGGCTCCAAACTGGAAGTCAGGACTCTATTTTCAGTGACAAGTCTTGTTTAAGTCCTCACTGCACAACTCTGCTTATCTCTGTAAAGTAGAAAATTAAATTTTTGTAACACCCCCCCCCCAAAATAAGCGACAGGCTATTCAGAGTGCTTTAGGGTTATTTTGTGTTCTGGCAAATAATCCAGAGGCACCCACTTTCCCCTGATCTTGACCCTCTACTCATGTGCATTCCGTTTGCTTTCCCAGGCCATGGAAAGGAATGACATCATTGACTTCAAGGCTCTGGAGAAAGAGCTGCAGGCTGCACTCACTGCTGATGAGAAGTACAGACGGGAGAATGCTGCCAAGTTACGGGCAGTGGAACAGAGGGTGGCTTCCTATGAGGAGTTCAGGTCGGCTTACTGCCATTTTTCTTAGGTCCTCCTATTTGGTAGATTATAGTGGTTAACAACAAATGCTCTGGAATCAAACCATTCTGGGCTTCAGTCCTGGCCTCACTGCTATTTGTATAATCTTGTTCAATTTCATTAATGTCTCTGAGCCTCAACTCCTCATCTGTAAAAGAGATTAACTTGTTATAATTAAATGAGCTATTGCTTATAAGATTCTGAGCAGTGTCTGGCACATGTGAAATGCTTGAAAGTGGTCAGCTGTCACTGCTGTTATTTTCATATTGGCTTGCAACAGGTTCAGCCTATATTGTGAAAATACCAGCTGCCTGCACAGGCACAGCATTAAATCCATCCCCTAATCTCTGTCCTTTGTTCACAGGGGTATTGTCCTTGCATCACATCTGAAGCCACTGGAGCAGAAAGACAAGATGGGAGGAAAGAGAACTGTGCCGTGGAACTGTTGCACTACTCAGGGAAAGACTTTCCAGGATGTGGCCACTGAAATCTCCCAGGTAGGTGAAGCCCAGCTTCTTTAGCCCAGCAGGATTCTCTGCCCTAAAGCTCCGGTCCTGTCTTTTTTTTTTTTTTTTTTTTTTTTTTTTTTTGAGACAGAGTCTCATTTTGTTGCCTGGGCTAGAGTGCTGTGGCATCAGCCTGGCTCACAGCAACCTCAAACTCCTGGGCTTAAGCAATCTTTCTGCCTCAGCCTCCTGAGTAGCTGGGACTACAGGCATGCACCACCATGCCCGGCTAATTTTTTCTATATATTTTTTAGTTGGCCAATTAATTTCTTTCTATTTATAGTAGAGACGGGGTCTCACTCTTGCTCAGGCTGGTTTTGAACTCCTGAGCTCAAATGATCCATCCACCTTGGCCTCCCAGAGTGCTAGGATTACAGGCGTGAGCCGTGAGCCACAGTGCCTGGCCTCAGTCCTGTCTTCTTACAACAAATACCTCTTCATTATTTGTCATGTTAAACCAACAGAGACAGGTTTCTGCCTCCAATCCCAGAAAGAAAAGCAACCAGCAGATGGTTGAGTTGAACCAGGCAGAATGAGTCAGAAAGGTGGGTTAGGCAGGTCCTCTTCAATCAGTCCTTTGACTTTCATGCTCAGGTCAGATTTGTGTTGCTCTGCCTCTGGGTTATATAATTCATGGTATAATGATCCTCTGGCAGTTTTGAGAGAGAGCCCCAGCCTGTCAGATCTTTGACAGTCACTTTTGGTTCCTTTCTCTCTTCCTGAGATTGCCAGTCAATCCCTCCACCCAACTTAGAGTAAACTTTAACTTACTCTTGAAGACCAGAGCTGTGTCCCCATTCATCACTAGGAAAATCCCAGTATAAATGAGAATCTCAAATCATGGCCTGGATTCCTTGCCCTCCCTCCTCCTCCCATCCCATTTCCCTCATCTGAAAATGAGGCCCCCAAGGCCCACAGCCTTTCCAGTGCTCAGAGAGCAGTATCAAAGCTAAGATGAAAACCTGCAGGCTCCCCTCAATCTTACTGTTGCAGAACAGCCATAAGAGCTCAGGACTCTCTTTCCTTCTTTTGTGATCCAGGAGAAAGTACGCTGCCAGCCTGAGACCTCAGCAGAGTTCTACCGAGATTGGCGGCGACACTTGCAGAGTGGGCCAGAGCGCTACCAGGCCCTGCTGCAGCTTGGGGGTCCCAAGCTGGGCCACCTCTTCCAGACAGATGTGGGGTTTGGACTTCTGGGGGAGCTGCTGGTGGCCCTGGCTGATCATGTGAGGCCGGTCCACCGGGCGGCAGTGCTGGGGATCCTGCACAGCCTGGCCAGCACCGGGCGCTTCACCCTGAACCTGAGCCTGCTGAGCCAAGCAGAAAGAGAGAGCTGCAGAGCCTTGTTCCAGAAGCTACAGGCCATGGGAGGCCCCAGACCCATGAAGGAGGGGCTCAGTCAAGAGGAGCAGGATCTAAAGGAACAGTCTGGTGGGCCCCAGGAGGAGGAGAGGCTCTTGCAGGAGTTGCTAGGGTTGTACCAGCTCAATTGATAGGACCAGCTGCCCTCAGACACCCTAGTGGTAATTGGAGGCATTTTTTTGGTAGTGGCAATAGGGTTTCTGCAGGACTGTAAGGAGAAACCTACACTTAATTCCCTTCTCAACTTAGAATTTTCAGATAAAAAGCAAAAATTGAGTTTTTCCCACTTCTCCAGACCCTCAGTGTCTCAGTGTTTTGAACTATGTGGATCTACGGGACAGTCAAAAGCCCAGGAAGTTGAAAACAGTTTTGCTTCTCACTCTTAGAGTCCACCAAGCCTCTAGCCCACTGGCCCTGAGAAATGGGTGTGAGCTTAATCAAATGCTGGCTATACTAGTTACAACCTCCACTTGGAAATGGCAAAATCATTCATCTTCCATGGTAAATAAACACTGATCTACATAGTTCTTTTTCCTTTTTCTTTTCCCCCTTTATATTTTTAGAGACAGAGTCTTACCCTGTTGCCCAGGCCTGAGTGCAGTGGCATGATCATAGCTCACTCTAGCCTTGAAGTCCTGGGCTCAAGTGATCCTCCTGCCTCAGCCTCCCAAGTAGCTGGGACTACAGGTGCCCACCAACATACCCAGCTGATTTTTTATTATTTTGTAGAGATGGGGTTTCACTGTGTTGCCAGGGTGGTCTTGAACTCCTGGTCTCAGGCCATCCTCCCCCCTTGGCCTCCCAGAGTGCTAGGATTATAGGTATGAGCCACTGTGCCTGGCCCCCACAACTCTTAACAAGAATATTTATAGGCCAGGTGTGGTGGCTCACCCCTGTAATCCTTGCACTCTGGGAGGCCGAGGCAGGCAGATCGTTTGAGCTCAGGAGTTTGAGACCAGCCTGGGTAAGAGTGAGACCCTGTCTCTAGTAAAAAAATATAAAGAAATTAGCTGGACAACTTAAAATATATAGGAAAAAATTGGCCGGGCATAGTGATGCATGCCTGTAGTCCCAGCTACTTGGGAAACTAAGACAGGAGGATCACCTGAGCCTAGGAGTTTGAGGTTGCTGATGCCACAGCACTCTAGCCTGGGCAACAGAGTGAGACTCTGTCTCAGAAAATAAATAAAGAAAAAAAAGAATATTTATAACCCCAAACCAATACCTGGACATTTAATAAACAAATGAGCAAATACTTCCCCATTTGAGGTACAGACTCTTCCTCTAGGGACCGAGTTCTTGTGGATGTTGGGCCTAGGAAAGCCCTGTGCCATCAGCTTAGGTCTGGCCAGCCTCCTGTATGGCCAGATGAGCAGGAAGGCGGGTTTCCTTCATCTCCCAGATTGATGAAAGGGAAGACTTTCCCACCAGGCCAACAGGGCAGGGCCTGCAGCAGTGAGGCAGAGCGTTCCCTGCCTAAGAACCTGGGCCCTTCTCATTCTGGTTTCCCATGGCCCATTCTTGGGTAAGTGCCAGTGTTCTAGAAAGGGAAGTGAGAGTGAGGTTCTAGAATGATTTTCCCTTGAGATCAGGTCTGGAACATTAGAAGGGCATCTTGTACATTCACTGGGAATAAATTGCCTTGCATTTGGCAGCTTCCCCTGCAGATCGTTTCTTCTTTTCCTGGCTGCTTAATCCTTTCCTCATATAGAGGCTTCCTCTCAACAGATTTCTAGAAGCCCCATAGGCCTTTAGTGTCTTGGTTTTGCCTTACCCCTCCGTACCCTTCCTCCAGCAGGCATGAGCCTGGCCCACACCACTGTGCTCCTGTGGGCATGGGGAAGTCTCCAGGCCTTTGAAATTGTAGAGAAGGAGAACATTTTTCAGAAGACCCCCTGCCCCGCTTTCCTGATGTTCGACAACGCAGCGTACCTGGCTGACATGAGCTTTGAGCTTCCCTGCCGCTGCAAGCCTGAGGAGGTCTCGGCTGTGGTCTGGTTCTACCAAAAGCACCTAGGCAGCAGCCACACCAAAGTGCTGACGGACTTTGACGGGCGGGTGCTGACGGAGGCAGCTCAGGTGCGTGTGGGCAGCGACATGCTCGTCCGCTTCAGCATCCGCATGTTCAGCCTGTTGGTTTTCCGCGCCCAGCCTGAGGACTCAGGCCTGTACTTCTGCGGCACCCGAAAGGGGGACTACTTTTACGCCTATGATGTAGACATCCAGAGTGGTGAGGGGATGGTGACTACCTTCAAGGACCAGGGCCAGGAGCCCTTTGCAGACGAGTACCATGGGAACCTCCATGTCTTCACCACCTTCTGGGAGTGGACGCCCTGTGACCGCTGCGGGGTGCGTGGGGAGCAGTGGCGCATCGGCCTCTGCTACCTGCAGAGCCCAGACCTCTCCCCACGCTACCACAAGACAGTGCCGGACGTGGTGTCCTGTGGCTCTCAGGCTGTGCCAAGGAAGCTGCGGACCAGAGCCAGGGACCACATGCCCGAGCTGCTGGTCCAGAGCTGTGTGGTGCCCTGTGAGAAGAAGAAGACATTCCGGGAGGGCGTGCTGGCCATCTTCAACTACGTGTCCAAAGCGGGCAGCCGGCCCTGGGTGCCCCAGGTGCCCATTCAGTTCCACCAGCAGAGACTGGGCCACGGACTCATCATCTCCTGTCCCGGGGCCCGGCCAGAGCATGCCGTGGCCTGGGACAAGGACCGCCAGTACCTCTACCGCACACAGTACCTAAAGGGTGTCAACAGGTCCATGAGGGTGTTCATCGACCACGGCAACCAGCTCCACATCCGCTTTACCCAGCTGGATGACCGGGGCATCTACTATTGCTGGCGGCAGGGGGTGCGGGTTGCTGGGTTTCGGCTGGGTGTGACATCCCGAGGGCACTACCCGGCCTCCTTCTCGGACCCGGAGACTCACTCTGCCGTGGTGCTCACCCTGATAGGCTACCTGCTCATCACAGCAGTCTTTGTCACCATTCACCTCTGTCGTTGCTTCTGTCACTTATTTCGCTGCTGTCCCAACCTCTTCCTCTAGGTGCTCACTTGCCCAGCTCTGAAGACCAGTTGTGCTTCGATGTGTTTGTTGATACCAGATGCCTTTGGGTGGACACCCTGGGCTGGAACTGAGACGGTACGGACAAGTCTTCTGTTAGTTACAGCCTGCTCCCCGTTTTTGTGGGCCAGTCTGGGGCCTGATCTGGGAGTGAGGGATCCTGGGGCAGGTGGGAGATTGGGGAGCGAGGTTGGGAGGGAATAAAGCGCAGGTGTCCTGACTTCACGCTCCGGTCAGAGAAGGAAGGAGTGAGCTGAGCATGATCAAATGGCTATCCACTGCCGAACAGCGTTGGGGTGCTTTACCTTTTGCCTCGCAGCATTGCCGAGTGGGTGAAACTGAGGGTAGCGGGAAGAAGAGGGAAGGAGAGCGTGGTGGGAGCTAGTGTCTGTCCTCTTTGGCCTCCTCCCCAGCCTTGCTCTGCTGCTGGCAGGTACAAATAGCAGGTTTGGGAATAAAGGTAAAAACAAGAACAGGGGAAATGGGTGAGGAAAGTGGAGCTCAAATTCAGGGCTTTCCTGAGAGAGTGTACTGGGGGTGACAAGAGACGTGGGAGCAAAGGCCTTGGGGCTGCCAGGCCCAGGCTTGACTGTGGCAGAGCAGTGTTGAATGAGATCGACATGTGTCTGCTGCTGGGAGCGTTGGGCCGTGAGGGTGGTCAGTAGTAACAAGCAGTGGTTTTGTCCATGGCTATGTCTTGGCCCCAGTCCCACCCTCTTAAGAACAGATCAGAGTCCACTCTGGGAAAGACCACAGCATTTGTCTTTATTTTTCCTCAGTGACTAAAGGCAGCAGCAGTGCCCTGAAGGTTAGCAGCAGCAGGTGACAGGAAGGAGTCGGAGGAAAGGACACCAAGTCTTGGGAAGAGGGAGGGACCCCCACCTCTCCTTGCAGACTTACAGGGGAGAGGAAGACCCTGGGGTGGGTCCCCTTGGCCCCATTTCTGGGCACAGATACCCACTACTTGCCCACCAGTCTTCCCAGATAAAGCAGAGGGGTGCTCTGGGGCAGAAGTGTTAGCCCTAAGTGCCGGCCTCCAGGCTGCAGGAACACTCTGTTCACACCTCAATTTCCTGAATTGTAAAATAGAGTGCTTCCTAAATTACTGGGTACATATCGTGTATGAGCAAGAAGGGATCACAAGATGCCCTTGGGTGAGGGAGAAGCAGCTGGTCATTGTGGGGGGAGGGGGTCAGCAGTCCCAGGGCTCAGGGGCTGGGTGGATGGGATTGTGCAGCAAGGAAGAGGCCTTTAGCGCTGGGACAAAGTTGTGCCCTGCCCCTCTCCCTCCTATTTCAGCCTCTTCAAGAGGATAAGTCACTTCCTTGATTCCCACAACCTAGAGGCCAAGTGTAACTGGTCACTCACAACCCCTGACTATAATGTCTAGCATCATCCCAACTGCCACCTGTACCATCTCTGCTAGCGCCCCCTCCAGCCTGCATGTCCTCCAGAGCTTGACCTCTCTGCACCTACACCTGGGGGCCAGGCAGCCCCCCTCTATCCCTCCCAGCACCCCTTCCCTCTCCACGTACACTGTAGATCCCCCAAGTGCTGAGAATCAGGTGCCCACGTGCCCACGGCATGCCCACAGACAGGGGCCCTGGATGGCAGCTCAGTGGGACTGAGACATTGGCATCGATACTCGGGAGGCCCCTCTGGGATGTGGCAGGATCTCGCCACCCATTCTTAGACTGGTCAGGGTCAGTCTAGAAGAACAAGCCTGTGGCCAGGGCTCCCTTGCCTGTGGGGACTTCCGTTCCTGTCTGGGTTTCACTTTTCCTCCAGCAGCCTAAGGAAACTCAAAGGCCCAGTTGCCAGACACCCCAGAGACCTCTAGCTCTGGCAACAGTTGCCATAACAACAGGGATCGGGGCTATGAGGATGATTTATTAGGTCCCCCTGCCTCTCCTCTTCCCAATTCTACCCCAAGCGGCTAGCCATGCCCTTCCACGCTGCCCCTTTGGGGTGAGTGCCCTGTCAGTTGGAGCTGCTGGGTGCCGGGCGGGTGCTGTCCGACAGGCCTAATGCTGACGGAGCCTAGGGCAGCAAGCCAGGTAGAAACGGAGGGAGGGGAGTGGCCAGGGCGAGCTGGAACTCGGGTCTGGAGAAATGATCTATGAGAAGTGGGGCAACTGTCCTGCTCCTGCTGCAGGCTCCTCATACTGTGGGGCAGGGGCCACCAGGTGGGGCCCGCCTCACATCACGTCCTTGTGCTCCTGCTTGGACTCCTTAATGACCTGCAGGGCACAGGGAAGGTACACAGGCAACAGTTAGGAGCTCACACAGACCCCAGGCCCACCACTGCCAGGCTGTGTAACCTCAGGCAAGTCCCCAGTCTTCCTGGTTCTTTCTTTTTTAATAGTAATCACAACTACCAAGTGCAGTGGTCAGAGGGGTAGTGACATACACTTGTAAAGCATTCAGCACCATGCCTAGCACATGGTCAGCTGGTAGTGTGAGGTTAGCTGTCCCTGTTGCTGGTGTGATGGGGACGGGAAGATGCCAAATCCCTTCTTCCCATTCCCCCGGCAGGGTCCTTTCACTAAGCTGGAAGTTGAAAGCTTTCCCTTTCCCCAGCTGTCGTGGCTAGAGCTGCTAACTTTAATTCTGCTAACTTTAATTAATAAAGTTAGAGCTAAATTCTAAAGTTAGAGCTAAATTCTGCTAACTTTAATAAAGTTAGAGCTGCTAACTTTAATTCTCTTCCCCTATCCCCGAGGCCTGACCCTGGGGACACCTGAGACTGAGGGTGGGCAAGGCAGAAACCCTGAGTTAGGACCCCATCTAGTGGCCCAAGCTCCCCTTAGAACTTCCTTCCCCTTGTCCACAGTTCCCTAGGCAGCTCCTGGGAGTTACTGGGGACCTTGTATGTGCCAGTTCCAGGCTTTCTTCCACCCCTGGCCTAGAGAATTCCTGGGGGTAGCTGAAGCTGGACTGTGCCAGAGTCCCCCTCACCTCTCCATCCCGCATCTCCACGGTCTTCACCACAATGTTCCTCTTGAGGTGGCCTTCTGACACGGACTTGGTGTCCAGGCTGGTTTCTGCAGGCGTGAGGAGAAGAGGCCTCCCATGGGCTCTGGGAGTACTAGGCATCTTCTCTGAGCCCCGGCTTCCCCATCACACCCCGATGACGAGTATGAGAGCCTATCCAACCAGGCGGGGAGAGCCTAGGCTCTTCCAAAGGGGCTGGAGACCCCTCAGATCCCACAGTGCTGGGCAGGTCCCGGCTGCTCTGTCTGCTGGCCTGCCTTCATTTCAGCCCCTGCACGAGCCCTTGCCTGGCCCCTGGTTTTCTGACAACCCAGTGCTGTGCCAAGGAAGGAGCACATGGGCTTTGAAATCAAGCAGACCAGAGCTCGAGTCCCAGCGCAGCCACCAACCAGCCACACGACTGTGGGCCAGTTAACTGACCTCTTCCAGCTTCATTTCCTCATCTGCAAAATGGGGATGATGGTGTCTACTTCTAGAAATGGGAGTGAGGAGTCAAGTGACTAAAGCAACGTGTGTTAAACATCTGGCACATGTTAGTGCTCAATACACATGGGTCCCTTTCCTGTCCCCTCCCCCTTCCTTCTGCCACTTATCTGGACCCAATGACCCTTGGCTGTTTAGCACTTGGCAGCATTACTTGTACCTGGTCAGCCTGGTTAACCCTTCTGATGCGAATTAAGCCCTGGGACATCTATATCTAGTGTTTCTAAGTATTCTAGCCCAGAAGAAGAGGATTTTATTTCCTTAGCTAAGAACTATTTGAGGGCCACATACAAGTAAAAAGTAATTTAGTTTCTCCCGCCCCCCAGAGAAAAATATAACATGTCACACTCGCTAATATTTAAAATTGAGAGCAGAGAACATAAAACTTTATTCACTACAAGAGCAGCGGCCCAGAGGGAAATAATCCTCTGGACTGAATCAGCGCTGAGCTGAGCAGTGGAGTCTCAGGGACAAACAGATCAAGCAGAGAGCCTGGCCATCAGGCACAGAGAGACCCAAGGGGCCTTCCCAGTGACGGAGAAGAGGTGAGATGGAGGTTGGTGTTTACTCAATGTCCCCAGAGCATCTCATCCGAGCACCTAGGACACACCTCCATTAACACTAACCAGTTCTGCTATCTTAATGTACATTTACCCTGTGCCAGGTTCTGGGCTGGGCACTGAGGTTCCTGGAAAAATGACACAGTCCTGGACCTTTAGGGGAAGCTTGGGAGGAGAGGATCCAAAAGGACGGGGGAAAGTGGGGCCGGTGAGGCTCCCTCCCTGTCAAGCTGAGACCAGCGCTGTAGCTGAGAGGCAGGCAGCTAACCGAGAGCCTGCGGGGCTCCGTTTACAATCTGCTGAGCCTGTATTGGTATAACTTGTACTGTGAGGCTTTTGAGATGTCTTGTGACCTTGTGACCTTCCCCTTCCTTGGTGCTTTTGCCCCCTGTAGTGACAAGCAGTTAAAAAACAAAAACATAAAACACTCAGCAGGGCAGAGCTTGCTTAGGTGGAGGCCTCACCCTGTTCTGCAGGGGTAGGGGGTGCAGGGAGGGGGAGTGGGGCACAGGGAACAGCAGGACAAGGGTGGTTGCAAGCCCCACTTGGAAATTCCCTGGGATGGTGTGCTGTGGCTAGGAGCTCTGCGGTGAATCATGAAGGCCCCCAAAGAGAGCCCGGACCCCTTTGCCCTGGTCCTTGGCCCCCGGCCAGAGCAGCCCACCAGCCTTGGGAAGGGGGCAGGACTCCAACACCCTTCCTACAAGGCCCTGCTCTACTGACCTCGGATCTGTAGGTTGGAGAAGGTCTGCACAGGAATGGTGATGCTGAAAGAAAGCAGAGGGAAATGGATGACCAGGCTGCCCTGGGACACTCCCAGGCTGGGTTCTGGTCCAGGGGTCATCATGACAACCTCAAGGCCCTTTCCCTTGCCTGGGAAGTCTGACTCCCTCTCCTAGCTTTCCCCAGCAGCCAACATGCTCTCTGAAGCTCTAAAAGTCTGCAAGGGGCTTGGGTGTTGTCTGCAAGGGGCGCATCTGCATCCAAAGGGAGATGACAGAGGGAGGGGAAAGTGATGAAAAAAGTTCCAAGGAGCAGAAGAGATGGGTCAGGTGAAAAGAAGTCCAATCTTTGTTTGGAGGGCGGGAAGTGAGCCTCTTAATTTGGGGGGTGGCCCAAGTACTTGGCCCTGAGACCTAATCAATATTGGTTGAATCCATTCATTCACTCATCAAACATTATTGAACACCTATTGTGCGTTGGGCATGCACTGTGCTGGGCATTGCGGTGCGAGGAGGGCTGAATAGGACTCAGTCCCTGAAGGGAGCCCGCTGGACTCTATGGAGGCAGCAGGGACAATCCCTTAGGGCTGTGACCAGGGCTCACCGGTTCTCCTCGCCCTCCAGCAGTTTTCTGTAGGTGGCGATCTCTATGTCCAGGGCCAGCTTGACATTGAGCAGGTCCTGATACTCCTGCAGGTGGCGGGCCATCTCATCCTTGAGGCTCTGTCCCTCCTCCTCCAGCCGGGCCAGCGCGTCCTGGTAGCTCGCCGCCTCCCGCGCGTGGCGCTCCTCCTGCTCGCGCATCTGCCTCTCCAGGGACTCGTTCTGTGAAATGGAGCCGGCAGGTTTCTCCCGGCTCCTCCCCGCGCTCGGACCGCCACGACTCAGAGGCTTCGAGGCTCCACCCCCAGCCCCAGGCACCGCCTCTAGCCCAGGGTAACTTTTCAGAGCCCTCCCCTAGCCCCCAGCCTGGTCCTCGCCTGGGCCCTCTCCCCAGCATCTCCTGGGATGGCCGGTCCCCCGTCCTTCGCCCGTTCTGTCCAGCCCACGCTCACCGTGCCGCGCAAGGACTCCAGGTCGCAGGTCAAGGCCTGCAGCTGGCGCCGGTAGTCGTTGGCCTCGTGCTTGGCCTGGCGGAGCAGCTCCGAGTTACGGGCAGCGGCGTCTGTCAGGTCCGCAAACTAGATGGGGAGAGGGTCCTAGGCTGAGGGCAGCCTGGGGCCACGGGGCTGCAGGTATGGGGGGCACATGTAGGGGAGCTGTGTGGGCAGGCGGTGTCCAGGAAATCAGAGAGGTGGGCAGGACCCCAGGGCATTGGCACTGGCTGGCATCAATCCTAGCAGCTGTGACGCTGGGGCAGCGTGGCCACTGCTGGGCCCCAGCACCTAGCACGATGCATGCCTGGTCAGCCAACGAATGCATGAACAGTGCCACAGAATCCAGAACCTTCCGCACTGGCAGCTCCCTCCGCAGGACTGAACCCTGTCCTCCCACACAGTGGATGGTGGGTTCTGGCGAGCAGAGCCGGGGTTTCTAACAGCGCCTTCTCCCCCAGCCTGCAGGGAGGCCCTCACAGCTGCTGAGGCCTCGACCCTGCTGAGACTGTCAGTGGCATCTGCTGCCCATGCTCCTCAGCGTGGCACGCTGGGCCAGCATCTCTGGGCCCTGCTTCTCTGCTTTTCTGCCTTCAGACCTCTACACAGGCTCTGTCCTGCACTGGGAATGTCCTTTCCCCCTCCTCTTCATGCCCATAGCCTGCCTGCCCTGCCCATCCCAAATGCCCCTTCTGTGGCATCTTCCCTGGTTCTGACACTGCATATTAACTCCACGCTGTGGTGGTCTCTGTGGGCACCATATTTGGGTGCGCATCACGTCTTCTCGGTTGAACACCTCTCTGTGTCCCAGGAAGTGCCTGGCATACAGTAGATGCTCAGTAACCCAGAACACAGGCTGGCAGAGGCATAGCATTCAGGCTCCCTAGAGAGACGGGCTGGGATTGGAAATCCGACTCTACCACTTAGGAGCTGTGTGACTTTGAGCAAATTAGTTAACCTCTCTGGCTTCAGTTCTCTCATCTGTCAAAGAGTGGTACCCATTTTATAGTAAAACAATCCATGCAAAGCACAGGGCCTGGCACACAACAAAGTTGGCCAACAATAATAATAAGAGTAGCTGTAATAATTATGAGTACTTTTGGAAATCATAATGCCATTGTGACCCTGGACAAGTTATCTCATTTCTCTGGTGAAAATCAGTTACCCAGAGAGGATATTCTCCCAGCTTCCTCTACTCTCCTTCCCCCACTCTCTTGTATGGAGCAAGGAGGGCTGCCTGCAAGAGGTGGGTTGGCCCACAGCCCAATACCTTGGACCGATACCACTCCTCTGCCTCATGCATGTTGCTGGACGCCACTGCCTCATACTGCGTGCGGATCTCTCTCAGGGCTGCTGTGAGGTCTGGCTTGGCCACATCCAGCTCCACGTGGACCTGCTGTTGGGCCAGCTGCTCCTGGAGTTCCCGAACCTCCTGGCAGAGGGAAGAGAAGGGGTACCAGGGCTCAGAACCAAGGCAGCAGCTGGGGTTCCCCACGGTGTCATGCCCTGTTCTGCCCGTCCCTCGGCCATGGGCATTGGCTAAGGGAAACGCTGCAGCCCTTGTTGGAAGAAATGGCATTTCCTCAGTCTAAAGGAGGCAGGGGGTAGTTTGAGGGTCTCATAGCATTCTTCCCCCGAGGGCTGGATAGGCAGGAGCCAGGTGCTGAAAATGCACTGGTGTTCTCATGGGTGAGTGACTGCGTCCCTATGGGGTGTGTGCTGTGGGTGCCCAGGTTCCATGGTGCCATGGATTCTTTTTTTTTTTTTTTTTTTTTGAGACAGAATCTTACTCTGTTGCCCGGGCTAGGGTGCCGTGGCATCAGGCTAGCTCACAGTAACCTCAAACTCCTCCTGAGCTCAAGTGATCCTCCTGCCTCAGCCTCCCTAGTAGCTGGGACTACAGGGATGCGCAGTTGACCAATTAATTTCTTTCTATTTTTAGTAGAGACAGGGTCTCACTCTTGCTCAGGCTGGTCTTGAACTCCTGACCTTGAGCGATTCTCCCGCCTTGGCCTCCCAGAGTGCAAGGATTACATGTGTGAGCCACCACACTGGCAGGGGCCATGGATTCTAAATCCAGGGTCTGAGGTCAGGGCTCAGCAGGGTCTTTTTTTTATTTTTAATGAATGGCTATCATTTTAATGGGGACAGATGGCAGAGGGGGTAGAATCAGAGAGACTGTGTGACCTTAGCACATTCTTTAACCTCTCTGGGCCTCGTTGTCCTCCTCTGTGAAAGGAGGTGAGTACTGGGAGGGCTCCTGTCTCACTGGGCTGTGAGGCAGCAAGGCCTGTTGTACTTCTCAGTAAATGGAGTGTATGTCTGTGTGCATTTCACCAGTGGTTAGGAATGTGCGCTCTCTCTCTGTCTCTCTCATTTTCTTTCTCTATCTGCCAATCTGTTTCTCTCCTTCTCTAACTGAGTATCTCGCTCAGTCTCAGTCTCTCTGTCTCTGTCTCTCAGTTGCAATCTCTGTGTCGAGCTTTCCTCCCTCTGCCCTGGCCTCACCTCATCATGGATCTTCCTCAAGAACCGGATCTCCTCCTCCAGGGACTCAATCTTCCTCTCCAGATCCAGACGGGCCAGGGTGGCTTCATCTGCCTCCTGGAGTGGGGAGAGGCAAAGGGCCACTCTGACCCCAGACTCGTCCTCCCCATGCCCCAGCCTTGTCCTACCCCTCCTTTTAGGGCAGGGGGAGCAGTGCATTGCTCTGCAGGGCTCAGCTAGGGGGCTGTGTTTGGGTGGGCTGCCATCAACCCTTTCCCTTGCCCCTGCCCCTGCCCCTGCCCTCTACCTCTATTACCTGTCGAAAGGCAGCCAGGTTGTTCTCGGCTTCCAGCCTCAGGTTGGTTTCATCCTGGAGCCTGGGGTAGGGGGACACATTCCTAGGTCCAGGCTCTTCTGAGGACACTTGGATCCCTGCCCCAGTCTCCCTGGAGGTGGCTGTCACAGAGATTCCCCCAGGACCAGAAGAGCAGCAGGAGGAATGAGGGTTCGGGGGGCCTTAGACAGAGGCCTTGGCGGGAGGGAGAGCAGACGAGGGCTTTTGCTTTAACTCATTACTAAGGTGCCTTATCAGGGCTGGCGCACCTGCTCCTGCTCACACAGGCACATCCACCGACACGCTCACTGTGCGTGTGCGCACACACGTCCTGCACTTGAGGGCACACACGTGCCCTGCCAGCTCAGCAAAGCACCACCCCCTCAGGGATTCCTCTGATCCCAGGCCACTACCTTGGAAATGGATTTTATTATGATCCCACTTCACAGCTGTGCAAGTCAGAGTGACTTGGCTGGGGTCATAAGCTGGTGACAGGCAATCACCTGTGTTCTGCACCGCTACTTCCTTTACCCCAGAGTCCAGTCCACCTCGTGGACACCAGCCTTCTCTACTTGTGACTCCTCCTTTATATAGACCCAGGCTCAGAGTAGGTGAGCCCCCTGCCCACAATCATAGGGCCCGAAACCAAGATCTTGCCTGCTGGGGTCCCGACTGCTCCCCGCAGCTTTCCCCACTGGGGAGGTGCTGAGAGGACCCCAGCTCCCTGGCAGAAGGTGTCCGAGAATCAGATCCCTGAGGTCCTGGGTCTCTTCCCTGTCCCTCCCATCATGCTGGGGAGCAAGGAGGGCCCCCCCCAAGGTGGAGAGACCCAGCGAGTAGGGAGGCAGAGCCCCTGCCCCAGCCTCTGCAGGCCTGCAGGCACTCCCTCTTGGGGCTCAGTCCTCTCTGCTCACAGGGCCCTCTTCCCTGTCCCGCTCCTCACTTCTGCCTCAGGGTGCCCAGGTCCTGCGCCAGGTTGTCCCTCTCGACCTCCAGCCGGGCGCTGTTGGCGGTGAGCTGGTCCAGCCGCAGCCGCAGCTCGCGAAGCTCAGCCTGGTAGACGTCGGCCAGCTTGGTGGGCTCCTTGGCCCGCAGCTGGTTCAGCTCAGCAGCCAGTGCCTTGTTTTGCTGTTCTAGGAAGCGAACCTTCTCGATGTAGCTGGCAAAGCGGTCATTGAGCTCCATCATCTCTGCTCTCTCACTGACCCGGGTCTCCTTGAAGCCAGCGTTGAGTGCCCCGGCCAGGGAGAAGTCCACCCGGGCTGGGAGAGGAGGGGGCATTCGAGCCAGGGAGAGGCGGGTGCCAGCACCCAGGCGCCGGCCTGGAGGCAGGCCCCCCACCATCTCCGCAGAGGATGAGACGTAGGTGCGGCGAGCGGCCGAGGTGATGCGTCTCCTCTCCATCCTGCTTGGCTCTGCTAGCTCCTGGGGTGCAAGGGCTTTATGGAGGAGTGGGCGAACTGGTGCTGCCTGGCTGCCCCTAGCTACGCCCCCTGGCATAGCCTGAGGGGGTGGGGTTGGGCCGCGGCCCAGCCATGGGGAGAGCTCCTCTCACCCCATCCAGGTTATTGTGCCCAGAGGGAGGGCTTTCCGGGCATGCAGCCCCCGCCTGGGGAGGGCAGTGCCTGGGGCCGGATGCTGGGTCTGGGGGCCCTGATCACTGAGCAAGCAGACCCTCACCCTAGGAAGGTGGGTGGAGAAAGGGTTGGTTGGACATAAATATGTACAATTATTATGCAGCAATTAAAAATGGAAAAGGAAGCACTGAATGAAGGAAGAGCTGGATCAGATGACCCCTGACCTGCCTTCTGAGTCTTAGATTTCCTAACCCAGGCTCACTCACTCACTTAGCACTCCTGTAAGTTCCTGCTAGATGCTGGGAATTTGGTGAAGAACAACCCAGTCCTTATCCTCAAGGAACAGCCTATGTCATAGTTTCCTATCAAACCCCATTCCCAGCAGGTTCCTGGAGTCCTCTGCTTTGAACACTGACATCCCACCTCCTGCTTTCTGCCTGTTCCCTGGAGTTCTGGGGGCTGGGGGCTGGGGGCTGGGATTGGACACCAGCCCTTCATCTGAGGGTCTGAGGGATCGCAGCCTCAATCTGGTAGTGGAGGGATGGCAGAGGGATGTGGAGGCCCTAATAGGGCAAGAGGGGCAGGGTCTTCAGCCTTCTCCCTGGGCTATTCATTAGCCCCCCACCCCCGTGTTAGTCCCACCAGGACATCCCTCCCTTGTCTGGCCTCCCTGCACCCCCTCCCATAGCCTGGCCTCTGACAGCTCCACAAAGCAGTTATGAATGAGCTGGCTGTGCCAGCTCGAATCTTTGTTCCGGCAGCACCCCGTTTCCCTGGTCACCTTCACTGTCCCACTGCAGATTTATCTTCTTTGAATTCCCACACATCAGCCTGAGAAGATGGGAAAGGCCCCTGGGGGGGGGGGTTGGTTTGGGAACCCATGAGCCACTGGGTCCACCTGGGAGCTTGGGGCCTGTTGCCCCTTGAGACAGGTCGGTCTAACCCTTCCACTCTGGTCCCACAGGGACAGAGCCCCACCCAGGCCCCTCACCCGTCTGTGTCCTCCAACTTCTGGGAAGCAGACACCCCTCTTCTCCCCCCTGCCTCCCTGCCGCCCACTGCCCATGCCTGGGCCTCTGCTCCCTTTTCCTGGGCACTTGCTGAATAGAGCCTTGTTCTCCACCGCCGGTGAGGGCGCCACACAGCAAGGGCAGCCCCCAGGGGGCTATGCTGCTTTTATCCCAAGATGCCCGGCTGCCAGGCTGGGGTGCGACGCAAGCCCCCTGCTCAATGGGCTTCTCGGAATGCAACTGAGGGGGCCTGGGGTGCAGCGGGAAGCAGGCAGTGTGCCCACCCCCGACCATTGTGTCTGTGCCAAGGTGAGTCATCCAGTGGGCATGAGGAGAGGGCCCTGGGGGGCTGCCAGCCAGTGTTACCAGGTCTCTGCCTGCAGACAAAGCCGGTTGCTCAGCCCTCCTGGCTCTCAGAGCCAGCTCAGGCCCCTGAGCCCCGTTGGAGCAACAGCTCGAGCTCCACGCCAGGGGATGTTCTTCATTCGGGTATGTCATGGACTGCCTGCTAAGGTTTCCCACGTGAGTCCAGTGCAGAGAGGGAGGTGAGAGCCCCTTGGCCTCCAGCCACATTTGACCCTTGGCCTGAGTGGGCAGGGCAATCTTGAGGAAGGGGCACCCAGTGACCTTTGATCCCGCTGTGGGTTGGGGAACTGGGAAAGGACAGGGGGCTTTCAGGGGAGAGCAAGACTACAAACAAGCCCTCGTCCTAACTTTCATCCCTGTGGCTAGCAGTGGCCCGCCCTTCCACGTTGCCCAGCAAGTCACAGTCTTCCCTTTTTGTTCAAGTGAAATCTCACTGAAATGAGGGCAAAGCAGTCCTGGGGAGAAAAGATGTGACAAGAGCAGGAGGCACTTGTCATCGAAGCTCAGTGAGTTGTCTCTGTGTATGTGAGGCACTAGTTTGTTTCAGCACCAGCAGATGAAGTCTCCCAGTCTTTGTCCTCAGCCACCTGCCTGGGGCCCTGTCGCAGGCCCATGTTCCATCCTCAACCCCAGCCCTGCCCCTTAGACCCATCCCCACACTCAGCCCTTAACCACCTAAAGATGTCGGCACAGAGAACCAGAGGGACACAGACTTGGTTGTGGTTGTTTTCCAAACTTTCATTATTTTTTAAGTTATACATGCCTTGTAGAAAAATCAGAAAATACCAGATATGCAATACAACAAAGTTTAATTAGCCATAATTTTGCCACCTGGAGATAAACACTGCCAGATTTTTTCCACACATATAAACTCAGTTTTTTCAAAGTGTGTGCATGCTGTACACATTATTTTGCAATTTGCCTTTCTCACTCAACAATATGTTGTGAACATCTTTCCACATCAATAAATATTTATCTACATCATCGTTTTAACAGCTGCATGGTTTTCCACTATATGCATTCATTTAACCAAGCCCTGTCGTTGGACAGTATGTTCTGTCTCTCTCTCCCTGTTCTAAACCACACTCTGATTCACATCTGCCCCAGGCGGACACGGCCAACAGAGACAGGCAAGCCCTCAGCCCTCCCAGCTGCCACCCCTTCTCCTAGCCTGGCTCAGGCCACATTCTCGGGGGGGGGGGGGGAGCTCCTCTCCTGCCCCGCCCCACAGAAGATCCTAACATCCAAAGCCTCAAGCCAAATGCTAGACTGACTTCTAGAGTACACAGCCGGATGCTGCTGGCATGCAGTGGGGTGCCCAGACACCCCTTCAAGGAGCCTGCAGCCAAGCCATGCCTCGCTTCAAGCCCAGATGGGGACAAGATGACCTCTCTGTGTCCCTCCCCTGTGTCAGAATCTGTCAGATAACCTCCTGCCTACAAGGCAAAGCCCAAATGCTTCCCAGGACAGACCAACCCCACAGCTGGCCTCAACCCCCACACAACGTACCTGGTGTTTGCCAAATACACCAGCCTCTAATTCAAGTGGCAGTTTTGCCACTTGGCTGCTGCCCACGGGCTTTGCTTGTGCCCCCGCTCCTTGCCCAGTGCCTGGTACAGCACGGTGGTCATCAAGCTGGGTGGGATGAAGGGAACATGAGTCTCTCTGGTCAACCAACCTCTTGGCGACCACTGGTCTGTTCGTCCATGCCCAAGGAAGGGAACTGAGCCCAGTGGCCACTAGATGGCGCTGCTCAGCTGCCCAGGTTCCAGTGGCCACAGGCTACAGCTGCTTAGAGGCAGGGAGAGAGCCGATCTCACAGCTGTAGGCGGGTTCTTTAAAACCCAAATTTGTATCACCCAGAGGCTTTACCCCTTTATTCTCTAGCCTTGCCTCTGGCTGTTATGCAATGCGCTCTAGGAGAGAGAGCGAAGCCTTGTCACTCAGCTGTTGAACCCTTGGATGACTTCAGGAACCTTCTCTGAATCTCCATTTCTGCATCTACAAAATGGGGACTTGCCATTCCTATTCCCAAGCAAGGTAGTTGTGAGGATAATATCATTGGAAGCTGTATACGGCAGGTGCTTGACAAGTCGTAGCTTCCACGTAATGACACCTCCCATGTGCCTTACCTATCAATGTTAGCACATCTGTGACAGGTTGGCCTGGAGGAATGGGAGCTGGGTTTTCTGGGGGGCTGCCATGTCCTACTGACTCCACTGGGAATAGGTGGGCACCCCCTCAAAGGCAGTTACCTGGCAGTGTGGACAGGGCAGAGGGACTGCAGCCAGTGAAGGGAGGGTGGAAGTCAGCACCATTCACCCCCACTAGACCACTAGCTGTTGGTGGCTTCTGGTCTCCCAGGGGATACATGCAAGTAATTTTCAACTGCCCTGGAGACTCCAGTAGAGGCTGTTTGTCACCCTGTTTTTTTGTTTCCCTGACTCCATGGGCTCTGTTCCCTCCACCCCTTCCCTTCCCTACCCCCAACCTTGAGCCCACATCCACACAGGTTGAGTTCTTGGGGAACCAACACCACCTCCTATGGGTGTGGGTCTCATCTAAGGCTTCCTGGGGAGGGGACTGCGATGGGGGCTTCCTGACATTAGGACCTATGTCTTTCCATAAACTGGATTCTCCCCAAGGACAGGGCTGCCCCCCAAGACTGAAGCACCCACAGGACAGGAGCCGTCCTTCCCCCCTGGATGAGAGCTCCCTAACGAGAGAATCCACAGTTCACTGTCAGACAGACATTCCTTGAGGGCAGGGGCTGTCTCCCTATTCACTTGGAGGGGCTGCCTCAGAGCAGGGACCATCCCTTCTCCCCATCCTTAGCCTGGGTCCAGCCCGGTTCTGTGAGTTCGAAACTGACTCCTGTGGCTGCAGAATGATCCCTGGCTGCACCCCGGACCCTTCGTTCCTCTTGCTCTTCCCTGGCCCCTCTCAGCTTGTTGGGGGCATCAGCTCACTCCCCTTCACAGACTCCAGGGGGGCAGGCTGCTGCCTTGGGGTTAACAAGACCTTTCTCACTGGCTTCTCCCAAGCCCAGGCAGGCCCACTTCAGCCTCCCCACCCCCCCTCCCAGTCTCTAACCCTGAGATCAGCTTTTTAATTGCTTTCCCTGATCTGCTCTGCTCCTGGCTCCCGTCTCCCTGCCTGATTGTGTCCCTCCAGAGGACAAAAGGCAGGGACCAGATGTGGCCCTGGTGGGAGGAGAGTGCTGGTGGGTGGCCTGTTATTTCTAATCCAGCAGTCCTCCCAACAGACAGGATGAGGATGGAGAATGGAGGTGGGGATGGGGGGCTGCAGTCGAGCTAGGGGGAGCCCTCGAGATGAGCTAGAAAACACAGCCACAGTCTCCAGGCCCTTGGGGTGACTCTCCTCCCCAAACAACCTTCATCCCAAGCCCTCCTGAATCCCTCTTCACCGAAGAACCTTGGAGGAAGGGAATACCACTTTGGCTATCCCCCAAACATAGCCAAAGGGATATTCTTGGGGAAATCTGGGGTCTGGGACGCTGGACTCCTGAGTCAGGAGCTGCCAAGGAGGCTCCCTAGGTGGTGATGAAGTCCCCTGGGGGGCTGAGCTGATGGCTGTGGGT